TGTACGACCAGAGAAATGAAAAGTTGTGCTGCACCTGTGTACAATGAGTCGTAATGCAATCTGCTATCATGTATAACTAATTAGAACAAATAAAAATTTAAAAAGCCCCATCTTCGTGCATCTTACATAGTGGTTGGCCCAATTACCCAATGCTTATTTGTTGAGGAAAGATGTAGTCTCCCATGGGACTAAAAAGTTTCCTGAAGGAAGATTCCATAACTTATTCATCACTGTAAAACCTCTGTGTTTAAACACAGAAGGTGCTCGGTACACTTTTATTAGTGGAAAAGGTAAGGAAGATACAGTTACTGACTTCAAGCTGAAGACAATCAGCTCTCTGAGAAAGTATGGGGGGGAGAGTCAAAAAATGCTAGAGGCAAACTCCATAATAGCAGTTCACCAACTGAGGGGTAAGCTGGAGAGTCAGCAAAGACTGTATGTGGGGCCTGTATTATAAACTAAGTTTTAAAGAAGTATGTAATTAAATCACTAGGTAAAAGCTGTGTGTGGGGGTGGAGTGGGGGGTGGTGGGGAATAGTACCCCAAGCACAGGGAGTTGCTGAAAGAAAGAAGAAGTTAGAACTTGCAAGAACAGACAGCAATCTGCTTGACTGAGGGGAAACAGGATCAAATTGGGTTATCAATGACCTGGAGAGCCAAGCAGAGAGGCACAGGGAGCTTTATGGAACAGATCTTGAGCAAGAAAGTGATGTGAAGCAGACCAACTCCAGACCCAGGTACCCTGAAGTAACTCAGGAGTAAGTATGAGTGGCATCTGAAGAGGATTGGAATAATTACATTTTTAAATCCATAGGATACTGTTTTAGTTAACATTTCTGTTTCTTTTTTTTTCCTTTTTTCTTTTTTGGTACTGGGGACTGAACCCAGTGCACTTTACCACTGAGCTACATCCCAAATCCTTTTTATTTTTTATTTTGAGACAAGTTCTTGCTAAATTGCTGAGGCTGGTCTCAAATTTGTGATCCTCCTGCCTTTGCCTTCAAAATTGCTGTGATTATAGTTGTACACCACTGCACCCAGCTCAGTTAAAATTTATACTACTGCTCTCTCTCTGTGTGTGTGTGCGTGTGTGTGTGTGTGTTTGTGTGTGTGTGTTTGTGTGTAGCTGAGTATCAAATGAGTATAAAACTCAGGACCTCACATATGCTAGACAGGGACCCTATCACTTAGCTAAAGCCCCAACTAACACTACATTGTAAAGTATAGTGTGTAATGAGTAGAAGCCTGGAATTGGGAATCAAGAGACATTTGAGTTTGAATCCTGGCACTATGATGATTATTTTAGATAAATTATTTCCCTAAGTCTCAATCTCCTCATCTATAAAATGGGAAGAATCATTCAAATCTCATTTGATTAAATAAAATCTATGATATATGTAAAGCAGTTAGCATAGTGCTTAATACATAAAAAGCACTCAACAAATATTGGACTTTTGTCATTGCTGGGTTATTTTCATTTTTTATTTTACTATTTTTCTTGAGATACTGGGGGTTGAATTCAGGGCCTCACAGAAGTGCTTTACCTCTGAGCTACATCCCCAACCCTTTAAAATTTTTTATTTGAATTTTGAGACAGTTTTGCTAAACTGCACAGCCTGGTGATTCTCCTGCCTCTGCCTACCAAGTATCTGGGATTACAGGTGTGTGCCACCATACCCAGCATCATTGCTGAGGTTATTGTTAATATTGTTGTTGTTCTATTTAAAGTAACCAGCAGACTAGGGGTATGGATTTTCACTAAAGATGACCAGCTCCATGGTCACCAATATTTCATAATTGTTCTCAAATCAAATTATTGCCAGTTAAACAGAAGTACTGAAATGAAAGAACAGTTATTTAGTTGTATATACAGGAATGTCAAACTTTTTGGCCAAATAAACCCTTCCAGGCAAAGGTCCATTTAAAGTGCAACTGCCTCTTTCAATTAGAACTCATGCATTTTTTTCCTGTCTAGACATCAGGCAAAGTAATGCCTGCCTCTTGTGTCCCAGAGGCCACAGCCACAGAGATAATCTCTTAGTATTAATCATCTCCTTCAGCCCATGAGCTTCAAATTATGGTCAAGGAAAGGTCCCAGAATTGAACTTCTCCATAGAATTCTTTTGGTTTTTATTTTTTCCCCCTCTACGAAAACTGCCTTAGAATTTATTTCTGCATCTATTTCTTAGAACTTGATTTTCCTTTTACTGAAATGAATGTCAACATATTGTCAGCACACGAATAGCTAGTACTTACCAAATGCCAAGTGTATGCCATTGTTTTAAGTGCATAGTACATTACATGGATTAACTCATGTGAGTAGCATTATAGCTCTTATAATGTTGAAAACTGAGGTCCAGGGGAGTAAAATAATTTGCCTGTGGTCACTCATCTGGTAACTGGCAGAGCCTGGACTCAAATCCAGACAGATGGGCTCTATGGTTTTTGTTTTGTTTTGTTTTTGTCTTTGTTTGTTTGGTTTTTTTTTTTAAACTGGGGATTGAAACCAGGGGTGCTAACCACTGAGCCACATCCTCAGCCCTTTTTAATTTTTATTTTGAGACAGGGTCTCACTTAGTTGCTTAGGGCCTCACTAAATTGCTGAGACTGGCCTTGAACTTGTGATCTTGCTGCCTAAACTTCCCAAATCCATGGGATTACAGGGGTGGGCCAACAAACCTGGCCCAGCTCCATGTTTTTAAAACTACAGTATATTTCTTCTTGTTAAATATCCCTATAAGGTATATCTCATATTTACCCACTTTCTTTCCATTTCCACTGATGCCACATTAGTTTTGAGACTTTTAGGATGTCTTAGTTACATTACAATTGCTCCTCAGTTTGTCTCTCTGTCCAGTCACTCTTATTGCTTATCTCTGGCTATCACTGCCAGATTCATTTTCTTAAAATACTAGTTTCATTATGTCACTCCTCTAGCCAAGAAACTACATTTTTAAAAAAATTTCATTTTTAATTGTAGTTGGACACAATATCTTTATTTATTTATTTTTATGTGGTGTTGGGGATTGAACCTTGGGCCTCGTCTGTGCTAGGCGAGCGCTCTACTGCTGAGCCACAACCCCAGCCCCAAGAAACTACATTTTTATTGTAAGATACATATACTACTTACCATCGTAAGCATTCACCATGTTCAATTCAGTGACATTAAATATATTCATAATGTTATGTGGCCATGACCACGATCTATACCCAAAACTTTTTCATTATCTGCACCCATTAACAACAAATATCTCCTCCCCTGTACACCCTAACAAAACGACAGAAATTCTGCTTCCATTATACAATATTCCTTCCTCCTTTCCTCCCCGCAACACATAGCAATCTCTCTTCCACTTTCTGTCAATTTGTCTGTTCAAATAACTACATTTTGCAAACCATTATCTCCTCCCTAATTTTCAGGTCTCTCAAAATTTGGCCTCACCCAATCTATTTAGTCTTATTTCTTCACATTTTCTAATATGCATTCTCCATTCTAGTAAGATCTATTTCCTTAACACCATTCTCTTAGTGACTTCAATTATGTCTATAGTCAATATTACTTTAGCATATGTACCATTGAGTGTTAGCATAGAATTTAATCTTATAGGTTTACTGGTCCAATTTCATTTTACAAGCTACAGACATTAATAACTTATTCCAAATTAGGGAAAGATGGGATTTGAGCAAAGAATCCAAGTTTTAAAAAATAATTTTAAACTACCATTTATTTTACAGAGTATTCTCATACAAATCCTGAAGAGCCTTTACTACTATTATTATCATTATTATCATTTTCTAGTCTACAGGTGAAGAAATCCCAATCCAGAAAAAAAAAATGGGCTTACTCTCATGAACTTGCTTTCTCCTAATGTAATAGTGATCCATTTCACCTTTTGACTATAGCCCTTGCATCTTATTTTAAAAGGGCTGTGTTTTTCTTTTCTTCTTCTCCCTTCCCCTTTCTAACCTGGAGGTGAGGAACAAGATTACCTTGAGTTATCTGACCTCCAAAGGAAGGAGATGTTATTGGAAGATCTAGGAAGTGACTATTTCCCAAATTAACGAACTGAATCTCAACACACATCAGGATGCACCTGGGACCCCTCTGCCAGCGTACCTTTGAATAGCTTCTTTTAAAGCCTTCTGTTTTCCCTGATGGGCAGAATCACAGCCTCTAGGACGTGAGTCTCCAGTATTTCTCCTTTCCTAGTAAAGCAATAAAACTTCTTTTTCTTTTTTCTCACAACAGTGTCCTCGTTATTGGATTGGCATAGGGGACAAGAACCGCGCTTTAAATAACACCAATAATTGAACCTTAGATTTTTCTCATGCCTGTAGTAAAACAGTAAATCGTGTGACAGCAACCTTGGCTTTTCAAGCCTGACAGAACCTAGCGTCATGCTGCACTCACATAATTCAGTAAATAAACATGGATACACTGATCGCTGCACATAGAATTTAGGAAGATTTGCTCCAATTTTGGCACTACATTTTAACCACAAAGGACTTAGGTAATGACAACATAAGTCCCTATCATTAATGCAAAAATGTCTTTATATCACAGTGTCTGACACAGAGTTATTAAAGGGTAATTGTCCTATGCAGAGCGTTATAAATTACAAAGCTGCACCTTTAAAGCAGAATTTAGGTTCTCTACTTAAAACATTTGAAGAATTGGAGGAGGATTCGAGCCTCTTAAGTTAGTGGTCACGGTTGCTTCGGACGCAAGTTTGGTTTTCTCTGGGCTTAACATTCCCATCACGCGGTCTGTGGGTAGCCCACACCAGGAACCTTCATCTCCTAGGTGCAGGCTCAGACCCACCCCTTTCAGAGGTTCCGCCCGGCCTCTCTGTACACTCAGCCCCGCACAAAGATGGCTCGGAGGCGAACTGGACCAATAGGAGGTGGCGTTGCTCCTGGTTACCTAAGTAACAGCCAATGGGCAGCAAGAATTGGGCCGTGAGGGATGGCGGCCTCCGGTGGGACAGGCGGTGGAAGTGGCGGAGAGGAAAGTGGAAGGGGGAGAGCCAGGCGGAGTAAAGGTCTCTGCCGCCGAAGCCCCGCGTTGGGGCGTGACAGTAGTCCCGAAAGGCCTAGCCCCAGTCGGCTGGCAGCACGGGTGAGAGGGGGCTGCGAGAGAATGGTCAGCCAGGTAGGGACAGAGGAGCCAAGCGGAAGACCCGGGCTGGGGAGCGGGGCTTCATCCTGATGCCCTGACCCGAGGGCGGCTGCCTGGGGTGGGTACCAAGCCCAGCTCGAGTTTAGACCACTCGTCAAGTCTCGGGAGAGCGCGCAGCACCCGGGTTAGCGGTCAGAGCATGAGGGGCTGCGTCTGGAGGGAATGACAGAACTGTGTGAACAGAAGAACCTGCGGGGCTGGAGAGCAAACCCAGGTAGATGGAAGGCGCGGGGCTGGAACGCAAGAATGGGGTGGGAGAATGGGTGTTGCCTTGTGGAGATCTAGGGCTTTGTTTACTCTGGGCCCGCCTCCACCAAGGTGGTGGAGATAAGTCCTGCATACCGAGGCTTGGGGAATGGGATGCCTGGATTACTTTGATGGGTGGCATCTTTGTCTAGACCGTTTAGATACCAACAGGCGTATCTCGTATTAGGACCCGGCCCAGGCGTTCTCCTTTCCCTTTAAATAGAGTAGTGTTCTGATAGCATTACTTCCTAGTCTCTATCGCTTCCAGGTCTTCCTTGTTGTCTTTCTGGTGCCACTGTTTTCTTCCCACCTTCTTAACAATACATTTGTTTACTCTTCAAGTAAGAGGAAAGGGGGGTTAGATTTATTATTAAAAAAAAAAAAAATTCAAGGTCATTTAAATGCACTTAAAACATCTTTCTGTTCTAATTTCCTAAAAAGCTTAATATTTGTTCATCAGAGCCTTCATTTTCTTTTCTTTTTTTTAATATTGACAGACCTTTATTTATTTATTTATATGTGGTGCTGAGAACCGAACCCAGTGCCTCACACATGCCAGGCAAGTGCACTACCACTGAGCCACAGCCAGAGCCCAGAGCCTTCATTTTCTTATCATGAAGATTTTAAAAGACTACAAAATGCTTTTATTATAACTGAAAGAACTTTGGCAAGACTGTCATACTCTGGGAAGGGTGGCTTATCCCAGAGTTGTGTTTTGAAATATCTGGGACATAAGAAAACAAAGATAGCAGGAACCAGGCATGGTGGCACATGCCTATAAGTCCCAGTAACTTGAGAGGATTGCAAGTTAGAGGCCAACCTCAGGAACTTAGCAAGGTCCTCAACAACCCAGCAAGACCCTGTCTCAAAAATAAGAAAGAAAAAGGACTGGGGATGTAACTCAGTGGCAAAGTACCCCTGGGTTCAGTCCCCAGTACCAAATAAATAAATAAATAAATAAAATAGCAGGGATGTATTTCTAGTATGCAGAGTAATAATATATTGGTTTATAGAGAAAAAATAGTAATTTCCTTTTAGGTAAATGTTTGAGCTGATCCTGCAACTCATCATCCAGAGCACAGAATGTGGGTGGATTCCTGTTTAGAAGCAGGAATCTTCACCCCTAGGCCATCTATTCTCTTTAACAAGATTATTTAAATAACATACAAGTGCCGTTTTGCATCCCTTATCAGTCATTATCAACACTGACTATATTAAACTAGATTTGTCTCAGTGACCATGGTTACTGGTGAAATTCCTTTTTTGCACAATGGCTGTGCAGCTGACTCTTAATTAGCATGGCTAATTACATAAGTTGTAAATTAAAATTCTGACACTATATTCTGCAGTGATAATATGAATTATTTGCCACATGTAGCAATTTCCAGCCAAAAGTATCCATGAATTCGACTCCATCTGCCCTTTAATTGGTACTTCTGATGGTAGTTTTAGGAATGGACATGAATTTGACAAACAATTACTAAAGGGAATTTGCTATTTCTCCCTAGATAATGGAAATTTGTAATATGTACTTTTGAAAACAAATAGGAAAGAATGATGGTAAGGTTGAGGTTAAGAGATGGGGTTCCAAGTTACTGTTGAGGTTTAATAAGTTACCCCCCAATTTAGTATCTTTTAACATGATGTTCACAGATTCTGTAGGTCAGGAATTTGGGACTGGTACTGTGGGGATGGCTTCTCTTTGCTCCATGATATCTCAGATTAGATTTGCACTCAGTGGCTGGAGGCTCAAATCATCTGAAGGCTCCTTTATTGATGCCTGGTACCCAAACTAGCATGATTCAGAGTTGTGGATGGCCACCTGGAGCAACAACTCTCTGTCTGGCTTGCTTCCTCATTGCATGGGAACCTCCAGGTAGTTGGACTTCTTATGTGGTGGCTCAGGTCTCCAACTGTGGGTGCGCCAGTGAGCAGATGGAAGTTGCATCATCTTTTATGATCTAACCACAGAACACACATAGCTTCCATCATTTTCTATGGTTGAAGCAGTCACAGTCCTGCTCAGATTCAAGGGAAAGGAATTAAACTTCACGTTTCGATATATCATTGGCAGGTCAGATTATATTTGAACATATAAGATGGGAGATATTATTACAAACATCTTTGGAAAATACAGTCTACCACATTTGGTAATAAGGTAACCTTTCAAGTTTCATCAGTTTCCTTAAAATATTTAGGGTACAGGTCCCAAGGGCTAACAGCATACCAAAAGGTTTACAACTAAAAGGCTGGGCTAGGATATTGACCATAGATAATCTTCAAACTGGAGAAACTTTCCCTTTTTTTAGGGATCTTATACTAGTTTCTCTGGAACAAGATGGGATACCACTCTGGAAGTTTCGTGTAGCCTTTAGGAAAAGTAAGTACAACAGATGCTCCCTCTAAGTCCCAAGGTAGTCATTATGGCTCCTCAAACCCCACTGCTATACCTCTTCCCAAATTTGGAGTGAAGCCATGTTAATTAATACTTCTAAACATTTAAAGGAAAGATTCCTATAGCCTTGATTTTGTGTTTATGTTCTAGAGGGATGGCTTAGTTATAAATTTTGTAAAAGATACATATCTTCAGATTACAATGGACATGTTTTGAAAGGATGAACTGTTTCTGATCTGTACATAAGTTGACTATTAGTGCTGTGACTTTATTAGATCTGAGAGAGTCGAAGATGACTTATAGCTATCAAAATGCCTAGCTGCACTTGACAGAATTTTCCTCAGCTGTTCTGATGGAAAATTTATTCTCTTCCTCTCATTAATGTTGCATTTGCAATGAAGTCATGATGACCTCTATTCAAGCACACTCTGATGTTGAGCTGATGGTAAGAGTCTGTGGGCCTGAAATTAGATGCTGACTTTATGAGACATTCATAGGACAGAGGACACAGCAGGTACCAGCATCACTTTTCTGAGAAAATAGCCCCTGGAGATTTGGAGGGGCTTTAGTACAAATAGAAAATGACCCTTGCCTGGGAGTGCCTTTTACTAAGTGAAGGACGTTGGATGTGTAGTTGCTGACCGATAACTAAAGAAGTGAACAAGTCCCAGAGAAGTGACCCCAAACATCTGTGGGAGAGCTTCCACAAGGCTGGCCTTTATTGTGGGGCTAGAAATGAATGTTTCTCCATATTTGATTGAGAACATAGGGATTCTCAGGACTTACCTGGCCTTGTGTCTGAAACTAAAGCTTAGAGACAGGGCCAGGACCTCAAAGATGTGCCTGACCCTGCTGTGGTGAGACCAGGCTGCTTTCACATTAGACCTTTTCTGGGTTTTGGGTATCTGTATCAAAAACAGCCAAAATAGCCCATAGGATATTGATGAAGAACAGATGGGTGGTGATTATAGTTTTTGTTTCTTCTTCTTAGCTTTTACCTCATTAGTCCAACTTGCAAAATTGTTCTGTTTCAAAATGTTCTTTGAATTATGTTGGTGGCATTTTGATACTGAGCAGAGACTTTAGAGAATCACATCTAGTTGTGTGCACCAGGTCTTGCCCCTGTGCTGAAAAGAAGGTACATGTGTCCTGATGGTACTCAGTCAGGTGCCTGAAGTTCAGACTCTAGGTTAATTATTAGTCACAGGGAACCTTTCAATGGTGATTTATACCTCAGAGAGCTTTTTACACATTATTTCCATTTAGCAGAATAATAGTCCACAGCTTTCAAGTGAGAATCCAGTGATGGCTTGTTAAAACTGCAGACTCCCTAGCTCCACCTGTATAGAATCTGATTCGATAGGTCCAGGTTTGGGCCTAAGAATCTGCATCATTGTCATTTGAGAAAACATTGTATTGCTTAGATCTAGAAGAGATGAAGGGGTGAGTAGAAAGGCTTAGGAAATTTTTTTAAATAGGGTTTGAATTTTTTTTAATAATTTCAAATAATTCAGTAATTTAAAATAGAATTTCAAATAATTCTATTTGTCTCTGTTTACAGTCAATGATATTTTGAATATCTTCTTATAGAATATCCTGAATAGAGCATTCTTTTACCATCTAGCCTGATCCAATGGTGGTTTTTTCCCATGATGCATTTTGTCTTAGCATTTCTTCTGCTCCCACTGCACTGTATCCCCCTGGACCACCCATTCATACTTGGATGTATCAGTTGGCTTTTGCTGGGTGATAACATCCACCCTAAAATACACTGGCTTGAAACAACAAGTCTTATTTGTCAGTGTGATTTCTGTGAGTTTGGGGCTCAGCTCAGCAGGGCAGCTGTCCTGGTCTTGCTTTCATTGTTACCATCCCTGTTCACAATGCCCTTCAGCCCCGCTGTCACTCAAAACTCCCACTTCCCTCTCTTAGTTGCTATAAACTCTGCCTAGCTTTCAGAGATCTCCATGAGCTAACCTGACCTAAAATTAGAGGCCATAGTACAGGATAAGGAGGACTGGCCATAGTCAGGGGAGGCTTGTGTGCTAATCCCATCTTGACCACTAATAAACTTTTTTTTTTTTTTTGGTACCAGAGATTGAACCCAGGGATGCTTAAGCACTGAGCCATATCTCTAGCCTTTTAAAAATATTTTCTCTAGAGACAGGGTTTTGCTGAGTTGCTTAGGGCCTCACTAGTTGCTGAGGCTGGCTTTGAACTCGCAGTCCTCCTGCTTCAGCCTCCCAAGCTACTGGTATTACACGCATACGCCACCACACTTAGCCACTAACACATTTTTTAACCACTCTGAGTTTCTATTTCTCCATCTGTAAAATGAGAGAGTTTGGACTAAGTCCACAAGGTCTTTTTAGATTTAAGATTTTTGGCTGAGTGTACCCATTACTCCCTAAATAAGCTCTGAACTGAATCAGACCAGGCTTCTTATTTTCCCATTGGATATCCCATGTGTACGTTGCTCTTTCTGCTTTCATTTCTTAGTTTTCTTTGCTGCTCATTTTAAATTCTGACCATGCCTCTTTGTTAATCTCTGGTATCCAACTTGTCACTCTATTACATTTTCTCTGGTATAATTCAGTGTTTTAATTGCTAGTCTTATCTACTAGATTATCACCTCACTGAGGGAAGAGACTATATTGTATACATCAACTAAGCAAGTAGTGGGTGTTGAGTAACAATTTGTAGATTAAGCCTTCATTTCCATCCCAGATCATAGATAATAGAGATTGACTGAAAACTCTTAAGTGGGAAAAAGAAGTGCATGGGCAGATGTGGTGGTTGTGGTGGTTGTGGTGGTGGTGATGGTGGTGGGGATGATGGTGGGGGTGGTGGTGATGGTGGTTGTGGTGGTGGTGGGGATGATGGTGGTAGTTGTGGTGGTGGTGATGGTGGTGAGGATGATGGTGGGGGTGGTGGTGATGGTGGTTATGGTGGTGGTGGTGGTGATGGTGGTGATTATGGTGGTGGTGATGGTGGTGGTTATGGTGGTGGTGGTTGTGGTGGTGGTAATGGTGGTGGTGGTGATGATGGTGATGGTGGTGGTGGTGGTGATGATAGTGATGGTAGTGGTAATGATGGTGGTGGTGGTAATGATGATGGTGGTGGTGGTAATGATGGTGGTGGTGATCATGGTGCTGGTGATCATGGTGCTGGTGATCATGGTGCTGGTGATGATGGTGGTTGAAAAGGAGGGTGTTTTTGTTCAATGTACCCAAGGTGACATATACTTACCAGTCTGGTAGCCTTTAAAGTACATCTGTGAAATGACTTTGCTGTCCATTCCTCCAGCCATCCCGTGACACTGACTCTTTTCTGTTTATTTCCTACAGATTTCATCTTTTTCTTCTGTAAGCTGTCACCATGACCCTGACAAAAGGTTCTTTCACCTACTCCAGTGGGGAGGAATATCGTGGAGAGTGGAAGGAGGGTGAGAAGGACCCTGAGGGGATCCAGTGATGAACAAACACTTCATTCAGCTGAAGGAAAATACATCAGGATAGAGAGCCAATTTTATGGATCCTCATTTCTTACTCCAGGGCTTAATTTCACACAGTGCCTTTCCTTTGTTCTATTTTAGGATTAAATAAAGGAATTAGAGAATGCTGTTGTTAATCTAACCTGCACAAATAAGTTGAATCTTTCCAAAATTCTAGATTTGCAGTGTTATAATATCCTTTCATGCTTTAGTAGGATTATTTGAGATTTTCTTAAATAAATGATAATGTAACCAGAAGAACAAAATGAATTCTTTAAAAGCCAGTAAATTGAGTACAGAATTTGTTGCAGTGTCTTGATTACAGTGAACCTTAAAAAGTTAAAGAAGATCTGAAAATTAGGGCAGACACTTAAGACCAAATGACATTCGTTCCCTTGAATTTCCTGTGACAGACAGCTCGTTACATTTGGAAGTATCTATTCATAGGAATAGAAAAACTCTTCAGAGCCTGAGACCAGGCAGGAAGTGGTTTAATGATGTTCGGTTTGGAAACACAATCTGGCCATTTAAAGACTCATGTGTCCAGTCCTAGTCAGCCAGGAACTGCCTGGAGGAGACTGGATCTCCAGTGCAGCAGGTGATATACCCTTGAGCCATGAGGAATTGTGCATTTTGTGACCTTGCCTCCTTCTGTCCCAAGTCTTTTCTCCCCTGCCCCAAAACTTGCTGTCCCCTTTAATACAGCCTTTTAGAGGAGAGACTTGCTGAGGCTCTGCTGGGTGGTCTCTACCCACCGAAAGAACGCCCTTGCACTGTCTGAACAGCATGACTGCTTCCCAGCATCTTGCCCAGGTTTTCTGGTCAGGTTAGTGAGTGGGCACAGCCCTATTGATGTAACAGAGCTAAGCCAGTGCTGCCAGTCAGGCTGTTAAGTTTATTCCATAGCTTCACAATGCTAAAGGGTGCTTTTATTTTTTTCTCTGAGAGGCAGTATAGCTAAGGTCAACAGAGGGCTGCAAGTCAGGCTGTCTGCTGCATTTGCATTCTTGCTATAAACTTCCAGCTCTGGCATCTGGAGTAAGTTACTTAGCTTCTCCTTGCCTCCATTTCCCCATCTATTCAATGGGAATAATAATAGTACTGTATCTACCTCATAAAGTTACCACAGGATTAAATAAGATCATAAATACTAAGTGCTTAGAAGAGTGGCTGGCTATGAATGTTGGCTACTATTATTTTAAGAGCTCTCTTATTCATACTTAGAGAGATGTGCTCCAAATCTGATGGTTGAGACTTAAGATGGGAGGTTCCAGGTTTTTCTGGTGTCAGACTCTGCCCTGCTAATGCCACCATTTTTTTTCTCTCTTTTGTGAATAGGGTCATGAAATGTATGGGATGCTAGGCAAGTGAGAAGGGAGCCTGAAGTTGCCCCATTCTAACCTGTACCCTTTTTGTTCAGGCCGCAGGCATGGTTTTGGTCAACTGCTGTTTGCAGATGGTGGGACCTATCTGGGTCATTTTGAGAATGGGCTCTTTAATGGCTTTGGGGTACTGACCTTTTCAGATGGTTCAAGGTGAGTATTTCTCAGCTTTAAACAAGGGAGACTCTGATATAAAAATGGGATATTAGTGAATCTGATCAACCTTGAATTTGTCCCAGGCACTCTAGAAAACAGACCAGGAGTGGGCAGTTCTTTTATTGGTTACTTTTTAAATAGATTTGAAATTTGAAATATCAGGGAGGTGAGTGACCTTCCACCCCTGCTCCATTCATTTAAGTTCTTTTCCTGAGATTGAGCCTTTGAATCCTCCTGCCCCAGCTTCCCAAGTAGCTGGGATTTACAGTCATGCACCACCACACTGGACTTGGCTCCATGGCACTTTTAACTAATACATACCTGCAGCTGCTTGACTCAGTTAACCTGGACATCTAACTTGCCCATGAAAGGCTAACCTCTTGGTGTTTCTGCAGGTATGAGGGGGAGTTTGCCCAGGGCAAGTTTAATGGCGTCGGAGTCTTCATTCGGCATGACAACATGACCTTTGAGGGGGAATTTAAAAATGGTAGAGTAGATGGTTTTGGTAAGTTGCATCCCGGTAGGTTGGGTAACGTAGGCCAGCCTAATGTAGGTTTAGGCTGTTTAGTTTTAATTCTTCTGTGGATGTCCAGCAATCAATAGTGATCATGCCTTAATGATCCTAATGATATCTGTCAAACTCACCAATGGAGCATGCCTGAGTAGAGCTGGGAGTTTTGTTTTGTTTTTGGTATTGGGGATTGAACCCAGGAGCATTTAATCATTGAGTTACACCCCTATCTCCTTTCATTTTTTTATTTTGAGGCACGGTCTTGCTGAGTTGCTTAGGGCCTCACTACGTTTCTGAGGCTGGTCTCAAACTTGTGATCCTCCTGCCTTAGCCATGGTACCCAGCTGAGTTTTTTACTTCTATAGCCTCTACACAAAAGCTGAGCTCTGCAACGTTAATGTTACTGTCATATTTTCTCTGCCCTCAAAGGCCTGCTGACTTTCCCTGATGGTTCTCATGGAATACCCCGCAACGAAGGTCTATTTGAGAACAATAAGCTGCTGCGGAGGGAGAAGTGTTCTGCGGTAGTTCAGCGGGCCCAGAGTGCCTCCAAGTCCGCCAGAAATCTCACTGCTTGATGAGGCAGTGGGCACAGCTGGAATAGTGTCAGTAAAGCCCATGACCACCTGAGATGAACAGAATGAACCAGATTTCAGATGAGATGAGGATGACCACGGAGCCGAAGCCTGTGATGTGCCCCATCACCTGCCAATCAGCAATTTGATCACAGAAAGTGCTAAGGATTTTGGCCCAAAGACCCCTCAGTGGTTAGCAGTTCTGTCTTTTCTTGATGCTTATTTGCTGAAGACAGGAGCTGTGTTTTCTTACTTGTCGACATTTCCTGTTCCTGAGACCTGGGGTTACCCAGTACAGAGTGGCTGCGGCCTTCACTCCATTTACTGCCAAGTGATTCAGAATCTCCTCATTCTGCCTATGTTTGGGGCACATGACCCTAGCCCCCATAGGGCCAATGCTGTGTGCTGCCCTGGCAAAATGAGGTACAAGATAGACAGTACAGTGACCCTGTGAAAGTCGGGCCAGAACTTCTCTGTACATGAGCCCCTCATTCAGTGCAGTTTGAATCCTGACTCCAGGCTCCAACTTTGTCTGATCAGACTAGTCTTTGTGTCTGCTTATTTCCCCTGTGAAGGATCTGGTAAGAGTGTTGTTTTCTTCTTTCTTGACTTTACAAGTCATGTTCCTTACGTGAGTTAGGGCATATAATCCAATTTCCATTTGTGTCTCTCCGTTCTTAGAGTCTATCAGAGAGAATTCCTTTGTGGCATAGTCAAGAAAGAAACTGATGTAATAGTAACCTCATAAGTTGTATTCATTACTCACTCCAGGTCAAGGGGCAGACATATCCAGCCTCAAGGCCTTCCTGGGGAGTGGACTAAGTGCTGGGGAAGGCCTGCATCGACACAGTTCTTTCCCTGTAGGTGGTAGATCAGACTCACCTACACCCCTGGGTGTAGGTAGACTCACACCCACCCTGGGACTGTGGTGAACTAAAAGCATTGGCTGTTCCTCGCATTTGACTTGCTATAACTCTCCCACCAAGAGCCTTGATCTTCAGGCCTTGGTCAGATTTTGGAAGGTGGAATCCCTATACAGTTCATCATGAGGCCTCCAGTTACCACAGGACCCAGACATACCCCCAGCTCCCATCCTCACACTGAATCTCCCTCAACAGCAGACTATGGTGGAAATTATAACCGTGTGCCTCTATTTATTCTGTGAACTGTATTGTAGAATCAAGTGTTCATAGAAATAAACAAATCACCAGATCTGCCTATACTTTGTTTCTATGACTTTCTTGCCCTGAATCCTCATGAATACCAACACATTTGTTCTTTATAAAAGTTAAATCAGTGTGGGGCTTGGAACTGACAGCTGTACTATATAAAACATCACCTAATTCTCAGAATGTCTGCAGAGTAGAATGTATGAACTTTTTTTTTTTTTTAATCAGACAAGATTAAGTTGCCCAGAGTGGTGAATGGATAAGTAGAGCTGGGTGGAATTCTATCACGGTCTTTCTGATTCCAGCTCCCTTTCTATAGGCCTCCCCTCACCCTGAACATCAGAGTGTGCAAGGCCTGAGATCATTATAGCCAGACCTGCTGGTTGACTTTAGTCATATCTCCTCATACCTGGGTTTCCCTGTTTCTGCAACACTAGAGCGACAGAACTTCCCCCACCATGTTATGTGGGAGGCCAACATAGCATGTGACCAGCGTTTGCTTCTCCTCCTGATCAGTGTTGGTCACCCCGTGATCTGGTTGCTTAAGTAACTGAAGACAGTAGCCCCAATCTTAATGCAATGTGTCTTCATGCATGGGCGTAACTTCCTACATCCCCAGGGATTGAGCTACGCTCACCTGTTCCTTTGTGATATTACCCCTTGCCCTGTTCGGGATAGAATGTTCCATGGAAACACCCTTTGTGTGTCCCCTCTCTTACTCTGCCCTTGGGTGAGGCCTACTAGGTGTCAGTCAACCTGCTGACAGCAGACATCATGAAGCTAGACTCAGCCCCTTGAAACTGACCCCTTGCCTCATTTGAATGGCTTCTCCTCAATAAAAGGGGTCAGCTTTCTCTCTTTCTGCAGACCCCTAAGGTCAGAGGAGTCGTCACAGCACCCCCAAAGAAAAAGGTATTTCTATCTCTTGTGTGGTTATTTGGTGCAGCCCAGGTCCCCTGGAGTGACCCCTGAGTGTTTAAGTCACCGGGAACATGACAATGTTACCCCTTTACATACCTGCTGTTACTCAGTCTTGGGAGGAAGGTATGATTATTATCCTGAATTACAGATGCTCAGGGAAGGTAGGTGGCTTCCACAAGTTCCCATGGACACTAGGAGCAGTAAGGACTGGGCACTTAAACCCAGGCATATTGAAGCAATAGAGGTCCCATCCACCAGCCTTCCTCCCTAGCCCTCACATTTTTCCCTCAACCCTCAACCCGATTCTCTGAGCCCAGCTCCTCTAGAAGGTGCCTGTGAGAAACCCAGCAGCCAAAGCCTCAAGCTTGAATGACATCAGATGGCCAGTTTAGTTGAAGGTCATTATCAGTAATTTTTTAAAAGTACTTGGTTTTCCATATATAACCACTGAAAAGCATTAAACATTTTGAAGAAAGCACCCTCTATGATTTTGGTGTTTCTAAATATTTTACTTGCACTCTTTCAACTCTTATAGTCTCCCATTTGAAATCATGAAGAGTTCCTAGGCCACCACAGATCTAATGGCTCTTTGCTCAGTATTGTGAAAGGCAGACAGTTAAGGACTCGAGTTCCTCCAGGAAGGTTCTTGACATCTGACCAGGAAACCTAGTACATAGCCACATTGGTTTTATTTGTCAAACTTTATTATTATAGTAACAAAGTGATTATTTTTAATAATAAAAGTAGGGTGTTGGGGATGGGGATGGAGCTCAGTGGTAGCACACTTGCCCTGGGTTTAGTCCCCGGTGGTACTGACCCCACCCCCTGAAAAAAGTATGATGCCTATAGACAAGAGGATAGCCCTGTCTCAGGCCAAGTCCCTCTCCCTAGTGTTTCAGAACTGGGCTGGTCAGAATAGTTTTCTAGAATGAACGCAGACCCCTATTTGTCCACCAGGTGTCACTGTTTACCAATCTGACAAGCCACTGGGCACTCAGTGATGGAAATCAAAGCTAGAGACAAGAATATGAAATGAATGAAAATAGATTTAGGAAAGGGCTTTGTGGCTAGAATGCAGCTTGGGAGCCTTTCAAAGACCTGCAACACCTTCCTGTTCAGGTTTTCTAACCTGGTACTTCCTCTGGAAGGAATCAGAACTCGGGTGCTTAGGCATAGCCCTGACTTCCAGCCATATTGTGCTAGACTCAGGTTCCTAGGCTCCAATTTAAGCAGTTGTCCATACTGTCCAGTTGCCCCCCTGCCCTTCCCATGGGCTTCCTAGTTTACGAGACTTAGGACAGAGGAAAGCATCCACAGAAAAAAGATCAAGACTGCTCCTTCCTAGTCTGAAAGTCTCTAGAGACTCAGCATCTATGAATGTGAGAGTCACAGACTCTGAGAAAAGGAGATTGCATGGAGATGCCTAGTACAAGCCACCTGGAGGAGAAAGTGGAAGAGGAGCCTCTCCCCCCGATGCTTGCTGCTCCTCTTAAGGCTATGGGACCAGGCAGGAGACTGAGATGACGCAGGCCTCAGCGTACTCTGCTTGCCCTTAGAGCCAGCCATTGCTGCTGAAATCCAGGCGCAGAGCCTCCTCCTCCGCAGGGCTCAGCTCCTGCAAGGGGGCGCGACAGGGTCCTCCATAGTATCCAAACCAATCCATGGTTTTCTTCAGCCCTGGGATTCCAAAGCGCCGGGTCACCTGAGAAGCAGGGTCTGTTAGTCGAGACTGTGGAATGCCATGCACACACCTACCCAGTACCCAGAGACCTGTCACTTTCAGACAGTTGGGGTTCCCACTCTCCTCCCCCTGTAAAGAAACTACCAAATGTGTGGCACCCAGAGTAGATTGGGAATCCAGATTTAGAGGCCAGAAAGCAGGTCTATAATGGAAAAGTGCAAAAACCTTGGATTGAGCAAGGAAAATGCCTCTTTTGATTTTAGGAGAAAAAAATCCATCCCAACATGAAGGAGAGTAGCATCTAGCCCTTAAGCTGGGATGGGAGAAGGCAGTAAAGACTTCACTAGTGCATCACCAGTCTGCATCCCAGTTCCCAGAGCCTGATCCAGTCACATCAGGCCTGGGAATTAGGAGGAAACTTCAGGCAAGACCCTTACCCCCTGGCATCAGGGTCCCCACCCACCCATAGCTCCTCAGGAGCTTTCATAGGAAAAACAATCCATTATTGTTCAAAGAAGTTTTGTTGTAAAACTCTATGTTATTTTCTTATCTGAGCAAATTCTCTTGTCCAAAAAATGAAGGGGCTAGACAACATGATCTCTAAAGGCTTATCTGTTATAGTAGAGGACCTAACGCTTTTGTCCTAATTTTAAGTGATGCATGACATTTTACAGAATAAATGAAGCATCAAGTTTCTTTGCTTTTGATATAGAAACATGTTACTTCATATGATCAAAAGTGTTAGATGAGGCCGGGTGCAAGGGCGCATGCCTGAAATCCCAGCAAGACAGGAGGCTGAGGCAGGAGAATAACAAGTTCAAGGTCAACCTCAGCAAATTATTTAGGTCCTAAGAAACTTAGTGAGACCTGGTCTCAAAAAAAAAAATGTTGTAAATAGGGCTGGGGATGTAGCTCAGTAGTAAAGTGCCCCTGGTTTCAACTCCTAATAAAATAAAATAATAAAATAAAAATTAAAGGAGCTGAGTATGAGTGTGTGACTAGTGGTATTGTGGCCCTGGGTTCGATCCATAGTATAAGAAGGGAGGAAAGAAGGATGGAAGGAAGAAATAGCTTTTATTTGGAGGGAAGGCAAAACCTTAGAAGTATGGGCTTTATGAAGGGTAAGAATAGTGAGGTTGTTTGGGGGTAGAAGTAACTATTCACCACTAGAGGCCAGTAGGCTTTAGCAAGGCCAGGCTTTTTCTTGGGATGGGTAGAAAGTCACTCTCCCACAAGGCCTAGTCCCACCCATGATGTTCTAATAGTCTGGTCTTTTACCCAAAACTTCTCTCATTGGAAAAAAAAAAAAAAAAAAACTAGGGGAAGAGATGAAACTAAGTGGTACCTAGGAAAAATTCTGTTTCTACCATGTTTTTCTGGAATGCTGGCATACCCTCTTCAGGCCCAGAAAAGGGCCAGCTGTTTTGGTGCTAAAGACCACAGAAAGTCCTAAATATAGCCATGGGCAGGAGGAGGGCTGGGGGTGGGGAGGTAGAGGAAGAACATTGCATTCGATCAGGGCAGGGCAATAGAGTGACATCAGGCTGCTCTTGGGGTGTCTGAGCCTACAGCCCAGGCAGTGGCAAGGTGTTCCAGGCATTCCTGAGTGTGTGCCCAGAGCTGGCACAGGAGAGCACACAGCATGAGGATGAAGCAAGATGGGGTAAGTGGACTGCATGCAGAGAGTTGGGTTGGCAGCTGGACCTCCTATCTTCCCAAGGGGGAACCCGAGCTGCTTGTCTGTAAAACAAGTTGATAACTACACCTACCCATAGAGATGTCACAAGGACCAGATGAGAAAATCACCACTAATATTAGATCAGTCCCCAGAGTCCCAGGAAGCATCACCTCCTTTTTCTGTTCTAGGGGATGCAGGTTCTGGAACCTTCTCTTTCACAGATGGGAATGGGAAAAGCTGAGGCCCCACCCCAGTGGAGTGTCCATTATGTTCAGGGCAGCCTGTGTGTGCCCCATGGGCTTAGCTGAAAGGCACTCATTTCTGTGGTTTTAGAATGGCTGATCCCAGGGAGCTTCCCATACAGGAAGACTCATGCTTTCCTCCCCAGGCGTCCTTTCTCTAAAGCTGAGTTAATCTGCCCTTTTGAGGTAAGGATACAAGCTGAGGAAGGTCTGGAACCTGCTCTCCATTTTACCAAACAAAGCACCATTGAAGAGTGCCTGTAACACACAGCCTAGGACTACTGTGTGCCTTCCATGCAAAACTTAAGGAAAAGCAGAAAAAAAATTAAATAAATAAAACACAAAACTCAATAATCAAGATTAAGAAATTGTGATCTAATTTTTTTTTTTTTTTTTTTGGTGGTGGCACTGGAGATCAAATCCTCAAACCCAGGACCTTGAACATGCTAGAAATGTGCTCCATTACACACTACACAATTTATTTTTCCTGGCACTGGGGATTGAACCCAGAAGCACTTTGCTACTGAGCCA